CTCTGCCAGGCATAAGGGAGACTGAGTCAGAGGCTGTGCTCAGCCCCCACCCCAATCCCCGCTGGGGGGGGGAGGGGTCCAGAGAGCACCCGCCCACTCCCCACAGAGGTGGACACACCATCCTCGTCCCGGGAGATCTCCACTGAGCTGTTGATGTAGACGGCCACCTTGTCCGAGGAGAAGTTGCAGCGTTGCCGATGCCCTTCGTAGGTGTAGTCGCTCTCGGTCTCCAGCCCACCTGGGGATGGAGACACATGCATGGGAAGGGGAGGATATGAGCCTGACCCATGCCCCTCACTCCTGCCCTGCAGCCCCCCACTCCCTCCAGCCTTGCTGGTGCCTCTCACTCCTGGCCTACAGCCCCCTGCCCTCACCTAGGCTCTCGATGGCCTCATAGGCATTGGAGGGCAGCCCCCCCCTGCAAGCATGGTCCAGCCCATCACAGTCCACCAGCTCTGGGAAAGGGGTGGGGAGAAAAAGACAAAGAGAACATTAGTGCAGGATTGGGCCCTGCGGACTTCCATACATCCCTCCCTGCTGCAACTGTGGCCTGTCACAGAGAGACCCTGACCCCAGCCTGGGGGGTCTGTCCAGCACCCCCTGATCCTGGCCTGGGGCTCTGTGCAGCACCCAATGTCCATGTACCTTGCTCCGAGAGTGAGATCAGGTCCCCGCGACGAAGGAACCACTGCCCCTCCACGTTGCCAGTGACAGAGAAGGCCCAGCAGGAGCCGCACATGCCCTGGGGGAGGTGGAAGGGGCTGTTGGTGGGATCCATGGACCAGCTTGGGTGGGGGCAGGGGGAGCTGATGCTCAAGTCAGCCAGGAAGAGGTTCTGAGGGGGGTCAGAAACCTACCTGGTCCTTGACGCTGGTGACAGCCCCATGCTCCCGCCAATCCCAGCTGGCGGGGGGTGGGTCCCGGGGGGCTTCGGCCCGTCTCATTGGGCGTGGTGGCAGCTTGGCCAGCAGTGGGTTCAGGTAGAGGGAGCGGAACTCCTCCTCTGGGGGTAGAAAGTGGGT